GTTCATGAATAATATATCTGTGTGTGGGACCCTATATAGTAGTTAAATGGAAATGCACTGTGGAATTAAGTGAATTGCATTGGTCAAAATAGGTTCTTGAGGACCCTGAATATTTTCAAGATTCACAGCTTAACCAGTACTGAAACAGCAGTTCTGTCCCAGAAGATGGAAGAGCAGCAAACTGATTAAGTTGCTGTGACCAAGAAACGTGAAGCCCTTGTAAATTTTAGCATAAGAAATAGACCGATTATTTGTCCAGATATTCTGTCTTTGCAGTTAGCGATTTTAAAAATATTTAAACCAAAAGTGATAGTTTAAATGAAAACTCTTGCTTTTTTTGTTGTTGCAGAGGCAAAAGGCAGCTCAAGCTAAGCCTCTATCCAGTATTATTTCCATTCTCTTTTTTTGTTTGGAGCTGCTCGGAGATGTTTGTAAGACTGTTATCCTCTAAAAATCCTCCACTGGATTTACTTGGAAAATTCCCTGACAATGTGGTTAGTTTTGAAACGTAAACTAAATTATAATTTCAATTCCGATCTCTTGATACGTTTAGCTTGTTACTTGAAGGAGTACTGCCATCAGTCCTGAAGGCGTTTTTTTATTACCTTTGTATACTGCAAAATATCATGTGTCAGATTTCATAGATCGTTTCTAGTGTTTCTGGATTTTAATAATTTTCTTTTTGCTGTGCTAACGCATGCTCTGTAAATTTCTCTGTTGTATCTTGACTTGCTGTTCTGTGATTTCCTCTGCTCCGCAGCACCAGGAGGTAGGGCTACTAGTCTTGGCGGTCATGAGAAAAGAGACTTGTTTCCCCCTTCTGGGAAAACTGCCAGAAATATATTCTAAGAACTTTGATCAACAGTCTTAAAACATTGGGCTAATTCTTGCTTCATTTTCAGTGCACGAGAAGCAAAAAGGTCAAATGTGGTTTGAACTGCGTGTCAGTTAAGGCAGATGTGTAATGACTGGGTACTTGATGAAAGTCATGAAGTCCAGCCTTTCACTGTTAACTATGAAATTTCTATAATGGTCTTTTCATTAAGAATACAGAGGCGTTATAGCATGTGTACTCTTAGCAGTATTTCAGAAGTCAGTATGTATAGCTGCATTCTCCCATTAGGTTTCCTAATTTGACAAGAGATTTTTTCCAGCTAATGGAGAAGACATCGTGCTCCCCATATATGGGTGATAGTTTCTAGCAGAAAAGCTTTCTTGTTCAACCATTTAATAAATTTCTAAGGATAGCCTTGGTGGTTGTCACGAAATAGGGTTAAAGAGTTGTGGCTCTCCCAAATGGCTTTACCTGATGAGTGCTCTGATTGGCTTAAAATATCCAACGTATGCTGTTGGTTTTCCATTGAGTGTTAGTGCCTAGCGCATGTCAGGAGGGGCTGTGTTCTGGGTCTGTAAACTGCCATGCGAAGGCTTGATGTATGTAGAAGGCTGTAATCTGAATGGAAAGTGAGATGAGGTTAACTTTTAAGGGAAAGCAATTCCTAAGCATACGATGAAGTATTACTGGGAGTTCAGAAGGCTTGTGGCAGTGCTGAGCGTTTGCTGTAGCCGTTTTAAGCTTGCATAGTTGACATCTAAAGCTGTTCCATTTGGACAGAAGACCATCTTAATCGTTACTGTGCTTCTGTGACCTTCCCTAGGATTTCCTATAAATAGTTTTGTTAAATATAGTCACAACACTTTATTTCACTATCAAATTTGTTTTCATAGATGTATTTTGGTGAGAAATTATTGCTTTTCAGAGGAGCTCTTGTGGGTCTGCTCTATGATGGTGGTTCTTGCTTTTAATTTCAGTCACGTTTTCTTCTACTCAGATTAAAATACTGCCTTTTTTTCTGATACCTCATTAGTGGAAGCTCCCCATGGACAAAACAGGAGAAAAGCTTCTTTCTGTCATGAGGGAGAGGCTCTATTCTCTGTTTTAGACCTGTGCATGGATACTGCTTTCCACATTTCCACAGTGAGGCAGCATCTCTAAATGCTGTTCTTTGTGTTAAATAATGTAACTCAGATCTGGACTTCCTTCTAGTTTTCCATTTTCTGCCCTTTCTCATCTCACATCTTTAACTGCTACATTCCTTCCTCTCTGATCTTGCAAGTCATGTCAGTTCTACCCTTCCCTTGTTTTGTTTTCCTGGCTGGGCCAGGTGTATAGCTGTTCTCTCTATGTGTATTCAGTCAGTGGTTCCCTGTGTTTGTCTCTACCTTCAGGCTCTGATGTGGCTGAGAATTCTGTTATTCTCTCTTTAAGAGTTACTGGATCTCAGGCCTTTATTTGTTCCGAAGGATTGCCAGTTTGGAGTTATTATGAAGCTTTCCAACAAGAATGTTTATTTCTGCTGTTCAAATGTAATTTGGCTGAAATATGTACAATATTGATAAATGTTATATTGATGTGTACAGAATGTATATTTGTGGAGCTCCATGTGAGCAGAAGCAAGTGGCACAAAGATGCTGTGGGAGGAAGGACAAGCAGATGGTGACAGAAATCACTCTTTCTGAATTTGTAGTTGCTGCAGAGTTGAGATGACATGAAGAAGTAGTATTCTTGATTTGGTTTCCAGTAGGATATGTAGCAGAGTGAAAACTGTTTAATTTGCAGTTTCTTTGTAGTAATTTAGCCAGCAGAATACACAGTTTAGTTTGCTGGGTCTTTTCTTCTCATTGTACCCTTTGCGTTTCATTTCCCATGTGTGGTTTGCCGCCTTGTAATTAAGGAAGTGGTATTTATAGTAATTAGGTTCTCTCTTTTTTTTCTGTGGAACTATGTTTCTGAGATGCTGTTGAAATATTACCTAAATAAAACCAGAATTAAAAAAAAAAATCTTCACTACTTTCATTAATGTCTAAACTACACTTTGAGTCAAAGAAACATCAGGAGAGATCAGCCACAGGTAAACTATGAACATAGCAGTGTAAGTCTGAAGATCTTCTAGATAAGTTTTTCCTAACATGTTAAATCTGTGGTCCAAACGATACTGACGTGATGCCTAAGGAAGAAGCAGTACAGCTCTACCACTGCCACCCTGAGGAACCCTTGCAACAGAGCTGTCAGCACCCTGAGGTATGGTGGGGCAAGGAGCGCTCCCGTGGTCACTTTCGAGGGGGCTGCTGCTAGAGACTGGAGTAAATGCACACAGAACGTCCTTCAAGGGCAAAAGAGTTGTAAATACCTCAAGTCAGTGACTGTAAGGCTGTATGAGCTCACTTGATGAGCTATTTGTTAAGTAAACCTTATCAACTCAGAATTTAAAATAGTATGGGAAACTGCATCTTTCAACACGATTCCAGATTCATTCCATTTCTGCCTTACATTGTTCCACCTTTCCTTCCCTTTCTTTCCAACACTGGAGACCCCTGTGTTAGAGATTCAGATAATGAATCCTTTTATCTCGCACTTACATTCATTATTCATTGTGCATTGTCAGTGGATTGCTACTTCAGGCCTGAATTAGAGATAATTAATCTTAGGAAAGCACTGGTAATTTCACACTTTATGAAGCACTATTGTCTCAGCACAGCAGTGCTGTGGTGGCAAAATGCTCATTGTTGCTATGCAGTATCAGATCTCCTAATATTGATCTGCCTTCAGGTCTTTATTTTGCGTTCCTGCCTAGGTTTACGTCACAGCACTCACACTTTGTTTTGCTTTGGAAATATTTTTGGTAGTTTTATACAGAATTTCAAACAGAAAGAGGTTAAATTGTCATTTAAATGGTGAGGTTAGAAAGACCTTTATCCTTTTCAATACTGAAAAGGAAAACTGGGCAAAGTGATGGACTTCAGAGCAAGAGGAATCCCGTAGATTACCAAGGTGGCACGTTACTTCAGATGATGAGTTAAGTGGGTAGCTGGTGATTGATCAGATACAGTGCACACTTGGAAGCTAAGGCCTGATGTTTTCCAGCTGGTGGTTAAATGTTTCTAACCCTTCTTGCTAAGCACACAGCCTTCTTTGGAGTTCTAGTTGCATGTGTGAGCATGTATGTAAGAACTTTGGCAGTTGATTTCATGTTTTTGTTTAGTTTGCACGTTTTCATAGCCAAGAGTTCCTGCTGTGTGTCTTACAATCACTTAAAAACTCTTCTAAAAATATTGATATCTCCTGACAGTACTTACAACTGGTATTTCTAGAATGCTGAAAGAATAAAATTATAGTCTACACCCCCATGAAGGTACTGGAGAAGCGATTCAGTTCCAAGTTGCCAGAGGTCCGTAGTTGCATAACACGCAGAGGGCAGTGTTTTGGAACAGGTATCAGTGTGTGCTTGTCCTTCTGCTCTTCCTTTTATGCTGCTGATTGCAGTGGGAGATGAAAAACGGAGCTCAGAATGGACTTTTTGTTTCACTTAGTGTTCTTGCTAAGTGGTAAGAAAAATTGTGAAGGGTTTTTAAAATGCTCAAGTCTCTTCAGCTGTATTTACCTAATTGTTTTCAGGAATTTCACAGTAATTGCTAACTAAGGTATAGTGCTTACTCTTTGTGAAAACTGGCACATCATAAAAGTGTTTAATACAAGTTTTGCTTATTATTGGGTTTTCCACGGCAAAACAAACATAATTCCTTTGTAGAAAGGTTAATCTTATAGTCCTTGAAAACAGAAATCGGGGAAAAATAATTAAAATTTTAAATAAGGGTGTATTACACTGTGCAATTTGTGCAGACTGGAGAAACACATCTCCAACCTGAATTACCCTGTGATCCTGACCTTGTAAGTGGAGTCAAGAATTAGACTTTATTGTTAGTCTAATTAATGCCCTAGCAGTCTAATTAAAATGCAGCAGTTTTTATTGTTAGCCGGTTACAGTGATGCTAACACTTTTAGTCTAATTACTGCCAGTTTCCAATAATCGATGTACACAAGCTTCTTCACATGGACCCCCTTCAGGCTCACCCTTCCCGGGTTCGGAGCTGTGCTGACCTTTCAGGTTGGCTTGCTGGTAGCCGAAGATGGAATTAGGCTGCTTGCAAAGCTCTAAGCTGTTACAGTTGTGATGGAAGTACTGATGTCTCTTGGTAAACCACAGGCCAAGGACAGCTTCTCCGGCACGGTCATCTGGTCTGCAGCAGCTCCTGCAAAGCAGTCCTTCTGATCGCTGCCAGGTGCCGTGTGTAATTTTGACCTGCGCTTGAAAGGGTGTTCTTAAGCTCTTAGGATCTTTCATTGCAGCTTCTGTTTTTTCAGTGTAAGACATTCTTTGTTGTTGAGTCATCTTCTGGTGATGAAGCGTGGAGATTTTCTCATTGTGTTTACAGTAGCCTCCTTGTGAGCTGACATGGCTTATTACACGAGGGGCCTCTGATCTGAACTGCAGCCGTTTGGCAAAATGGAAAGATAATCTATTCAGAAAGAAAATCTCTGCAAGCTGTTTGAATCTGGTATGATAGGGAGAGGTCCTTCTGAGGCCGTGGAGTAGGTGATTGTTGTTGTTTTGGGTTGTGGGGTTTTCTTCCCAGTCTTGTTGTTGGAGAAGGTTAATACCTGTGAAACTGAAATCCTGGATTTCTGGGAAATGCTATTTATAGTCTTTTGGGGTTAGATCTGGACCAAAGTCTTAACAGAGAACCTCGAGAATGATACACAGTAAATCTTCAGATTGTCTGTCTTTGTAAGGGTCAAAAAAGACTCATTTTTTCCATCCTTATTTTATTCAGGTAATGTTTGTAATACTCAGTTTAGCTGAAGGTGTGAGAAATTTGCTACTCTGCTGTGTGAAGTGTAGCAAAAGTATAGGGAGTCACATTTATAAAACTTCTGTCTGTCCTTTTGTGAGAGCAGCTGCTTGATCTATTCTACTCCAGGCTGTTTAATAACAAATTGGAAGTACTGGGAATACCAGCCAGAATACACAAACAAAATTTTGTCTGTCTTTCTCATGCCTTGATCCTGTATCTTTCCTAGTCCTGAGTCTAGGGCTTTATTTTTGTCGTTTTGTTATTCCTCTATGAGAGATACTGATTTGCGTCCCTGCCAGAGACACAGCTTATAAAAAATTTGCTTGCAAAATTTGCACGTTTAGGTGTGTAGAGGAACACTCCTGTTATAGGCAAGTTAATATGCCTCTAGGTATACTGGAACGGTCATTAACAAGCGCAAACTGCCCTGTTTTTCCCCCCAATGAAACACTTTTGGTTTTGAATCTTAAAATTGAGCTTTGGGTTATTTCTCCAAATTAGACAAGTAGAATTTTCAGTCTAAAATTCTGTCTGCAGCTTTGATTAGGTTCTCCAGTGTGTCTGGAGTTCTCTATGTCTCGTGCCTGTATAATTTAAAAGGAACATTCTTATCTCCCTGTTATCTAGAACTTAGCAAAATTGTGAAGCTTCAAGATGTGCCCCTATACCTGTCCCCTTTTTCCCCTGCTCCCTGGTACACACTTTCATTGATCATTTTTGGGAGGGGGGGTATAAAATTTTCCATTTGCCAGTCTCTTAGGCAATTATGATCTCATGCCTTCCCCGTACTTCCTCAGTAAATGTGCTGTCTCTCACATTTAGAACTTTCCTGTGCATTTCCTAGGAAAATCTTTAGTCCTTCATGACTGTACCAAATACTAGGGCTTTCGTCTATTGTCAAACCGATGAAAGAGAAGTGTTGTGTTATTCAGAGTTGAGATCTATAGCAGATAGATTTAATCTCCTTCACTAAGTTCCTAACCTTCATTCAAAAACTGTATTTTCTATCCTTTCCATCTGTTATTTACTTCTTAATACTTGTACCTGTAATTTCATGTATAGTACTATTTTCTTCTACTACATTGGAAATGGCTTTATTTCTCAATGTTAACATTCCTTTCATGTGACTTATGCTGCTGTGTTTCTGTTAAATCTCCCACGGTCTTTTCCTTGAATAGTTGTTTCTAGCTCAGTCTGTTTATTTCCCATCATCCTGGTGTTAATATACAAGTAGTTGTGAGATGGTTTATTCCCTTTCTTTCTTGGTAGGTAGTTTTGTTTTCTTCTTTCTTTCTTCCTTCCCCTTTTCTTCTATCTACAAGCCTGACATTTCAGTTCTTGACTTACAGTTGTCCTTTTGTCAAAAAGTGAATCTTGTTTCTACTCCAGGCTGTGCTCCATGGATGAAGTCTCTAGACTTCTCCTTTCAGGTGATTAAAGGAATGACGAACTTATTGTGCACAGTGGCATAGTAAATTAAGATGAGGTTTAGCAGATCATATATAAACTTCCTGATCTGTTTGAACCTCTCTGGGGAGAGTGAAAGGAGGTGTGAGATTCACATGGACAGCTGGTTTAAGAGATGACCTCTTTGTGGACATACCATACTCAAAGTGCTGTTAATCCTTATTTTTGTTTCTGGGGTTGGTGGCAAGATATGAAATGGAAGTTGTTAGCTCTGCAGCTTTTGGTCATTTTGAGCTGATGGAAGCAGGTACCAGTGATCTTCACAACATATAATGCATCTTTTCCTGCAGACTAGAAAGAAATTATGTGCATTGAAAGGATGTAACGGAAAAGGTAATCTCATAAATGTTGTGGTAATTACTAAAACTCACAGTCCATCTCTATTCTTCTGGATAGCTCAAAATGTAATAGGCAGACCAGACAGAAGTTGATGAGTGTGGGTTTTTCTTAGTTTCTTTCTTTGTTTTTGGAAGGGCTCCTTGAAGGAGTAACACTTTGGTCATTTCTAAGGGCAGCAGTCAGTGGCAGTGTATGGAGATGCATATCTGAGAATGTGAAGTGAGAAGGGAACCCAAAGATTGTACAAAAAAAAAACGGGGGGGGGGGGGGAGTGAAAATAGACACTAGATTGAATATAGATGCATAGAATGTGGACAAGGACTCTAACAGCAGAAAAAAAATGGTCCAAACAAAAATTCAACTGAATGGAGAGTAACATGGTTAACTGGAGGAGGCAAAAATGAGATACATTGCAAAGTAATTTGGAGCAGATGGGAGGTGGGAAAAAATGAAGAGCAGAGATGTCTAGCTGTAAAAGACTGTAAAAGTCAAGCTGACAGATGAGGGCTTAGAAAAAAGTGCTCTAGTAAACAAATTACAGAACCCAAATCACTTCTTTGCTTGCTGAAGGGAAGGAAATGGGAGAGAAGGAATTGGAGGTGACAATGAAGTTTTGATCCTGAGAGAGTAAAAGCGTGTGCATTATTTAGAATAGAAGAGGAAGATGGTAGCAATAGACTAGGGAGAAAGGCATGCTCAGCACTAGAAAGAATCAGTGTGTGATAATGGTGCGGCAGGAATAGGAGAGGAACCTGACATACGGATTAGAACCAACTTGAAGGAAATGTGCTGAATTCTTGCTGTGTGTTTGAACAGATATGTAGAGGTGGCAATTAAGTCCTCAGAAAACTTGTACTTACGATGGACTTGTTTCCTACAAGGGGTCTGGAAGAGTCCATACAGCAGTTAATCAGTACATCAGAGTGTTAGTTCTTACTGCGATGTTGTCTTGCCATGAAATGCATAACTCGGGTTGCTTTAGGGATGCTATGAAAAAAATGATAATGATCACTCAGTTTGCTATATTTTTATCACTTAATAAAAATGTCTTGTCTCTTGTGCCTAGATATTTGATTTAATGGATGCCAAAGCCCGTGCTGACTGCATCAAAGAAATAGATCTTCTCAAGGTAAATTTGTTTAAAAAATGTGCAACCACCATTAAAGTATACTAAGTTTTTCATAGATGTACTTGAGGTGTCCACTGTTGTCTGTGTAGAGTTTTTATAAGCCTCACTTAAGGAATTTTGTGATCTTTATTGCTTTAAAAATTAACATCGAGAAGTAAATCCTGTAGAAAAATGAATAACTTTTCAAGTGAAGTTTCTTCTAAAACCATAGTATTGTAAATAACTGTGTCCTGTGTACAGTAAAATACTGATTTTAAAAATTGACTTTGCTATTTCAGGTAAGTTCAGTGTGCTATTGCATAGGTACATTGAAGCAAAATTCCTCTAAAACTGCAACTTCAGTCATCATGTTGATCCTAAAATGCCATCATATTCCTGCAAAATGTTTATCTGTAAATGCTTCTCATAAGCATATACTTTGTATGATACTGAAGCAGATTTTAAGGGTTGTTTCGTTTGCCTAAATAAGAATGTTTCATATGTCAGTCTTAAAGCGTAAGACATGCTTTAGGCTAAAATGTGCATTATTGTTCTGCTTTCATAGCAACTGAATCATCCAAATGTAATCAAATATTATGCCTCATTCATTGAAGACAATGAACTGAACATAGTGTTGGAATTAGCTGATGCTGGAGATCTCTCTAGAATGATAAAGGTAGGAATTAACTTTTTTAAAAAAATTAAAAGCTTGTAACATTCATCTTCTTTGGCTTTTCATTCTGCATGCTCATCACTGGGTGAAGTGGAGTGAAAATGTCAGGAACTGTGCAGAAAAGTGGAGTGTCTAGACTGACTTTTTTTTTTAAGTATGCCCAATATTGATGCTTATGTAAGTATTTTCAGCGTTGTTGCCCAGAATGTAAGTGCAGATGGGGACATAACTGGACTGCAATTATATTAATGCTGGGGAGAAGAAAAAAAAACCATAAAGAAAAGCACTGTCACCACCATTGACAACAATACATTTTGACAGCATTCCTGATTTTTGGCACAATTGTGTTTTGTATTCCAATATTCTGTTCTCTATAATAGGAGTGGAAGCAGAGGAGGGCTGGTGTCATAAAGAAGTTTCTTCTAGGTCTTGAATTTCAATTACTAACCACTTCAGCAAACAAAATAAAGATGAAAACGGAAATAACTACATCACTTTGTGGGTCTAGTTACATACTTCTTTATCTTGAGACTAACAAATATTCTGAAAATATATTTCATACTTGGTTGAAAACACATGCATTGAACTTACTAATATGTGGTTGTACGTTATGGGTTAGCTGCTTTCTTTTGTAGTTTTTAAATACCTGCTCTTTAGCTAACCAGAAAAATTTATCCAAGACCTGTTGTATGAACTTTGTATTCTGAAACTTATATTTACTTCTAACTAGCTTTTTTTTATCTTTGTTTGTCATCTGACAACTACTTCCCCTCTTTTCCTACCCTTTTTCCACTGGCTCTTGGCTTTAGTGTGTCCCTTTGGTGTACTTTCTTGTGTGTGCAATGACATTATTGTTGTCAGCACAGCGTAACTCTGGGAACAAATCGTGCCGGTCAATTAGCATTCACTCAGCAACAGCCGGGCACGGAACAGAGTTCTGTTGTTTTGCTTAAGACCTACATGAATAGAGGATGTTAATTTCTTCATTAATCACTTTCTTACTGATTTTTTTTTTTTGAGCTTTTGAAGAATATTCCTTTCTAGATTGATAATTGTGAGGTAGGACAGTCAAAATTTGATTCTAAACACGCTGACAGTGTTCTGTTAATGTTTATATCCAAATCTGATATTTTTTTCTTTCTCTCATGAATTAATAATTCTGTGGGCTTACATTTCATAAAACATAAAGGAAAGTTTGTCTTTTCTTTTGAATGTTCAGTTTTGACACAACAGTTATTAATATGAGTGCTCCATGACAGATTGCCTCATGGCATGTCTGGTCTTATGACCCACTGAAGCTTTTCCTTTTTCCTTTTTCCTTTTTCTTTTTTTTTTTTCTTTTATTTGAAATCCAATGTGAGAATAATGGCTTCTTCAGTGCAGTTGGCCTCATTACACCTTTTCCAAGTTGCTGGGTATTTCTTACAGGCTGGATCTTGGAGGCACTTTGTGATTGTCCTCTTAACACAGGGATCGTGTTTAATGTAGCAAACCCAGATTGCTGTTTGATGTTAATGACAGCCTATCAGGCTATTATTAAATATGTATGAGGTGTCACAGTGCACTCTGTCTTCATGCTGCTGGTGGAGGAAAAGATTTGGTAGATTACTTGGATGGTATGAGTTGAAATGTGGGGCACATCAGTTATATAGCATCTTCTTAAAAAAGTATTTGAAAAATTGCCCGAAAAATAAATGATATGTGGTGGTATGGAAACTTCCTAGCAGAGTGACTGCCTGTCACACTATTAAGGTAAATACCTCTGTTGTGTTATTAAACCACACAAACCATGCTTTGTTTTCCCGTGTTCTTGCTGGAATGCTGTTCTGAGTTTGTTAAGAGGATGTTGAGGCACCCCTGGAAGAGTGTTTGGGTACCAGGCTTGTTGTGTGATTTGCAGGAAGGATCAAACATGTTTTTGACATTGTAAATGACCACAGCTTGAATGGCGCCGAAACTAATATGAGGGAAAACTACTTCACTAGTTTACTTGTGTATTTGTTATGACATTATTGGCACATCAGAGAATACTCGCAAAGCTGCTGTGCCTCGCAGTGCACCTTAATGAATTCTTTAGTTCTTCCCTTAATGAACCACATCCTCGCTGCCCAGCTTTCATACAATCCCTCTTGTTACCTGTGAATAATACTCTCTTTGTCCCCATTGAGTAGACAACTGAAGAAAATAACTTGGTGCATTCATACAGATTCTAATAGGATTCATGGAATCTGCTGTATGTAAAAAAACAAGGGCAGCTGTGCACTGGCAGTTGCAAATTGCATAATGAAATCAGAGGTATCTCATGTTCTCTCTGTGTGTCTATGTATGTACATGCACAGATTTAATCCACTTTACCTTAGTTTTTTTGTTTTAATTATCTTTGTCACAGGAACATGTCTCAGTATGGCCTCCATCCTCAAAAACTGGAGGATCCAAAATTGAGGATTTCTTCTCTTACAGCTTTTAATGGCCTGGTAGAACTCGTGGATGTGGCGTGTCAGTAATATTAAGAGACAAACATCGTCAGTGAGGGGGAAGTACTTGCTTTTGACTAAGAGCTGGTTTTGCACTGGAATATATGCAGCACTGTGTAACCCATGTGTAGGGATGGTGAAAGAAGGACAAATCCTTGATTTTCTGTGTCTGTGAATTAGGCTGTTGGATACTATTACATCAAAGGTTGTACAAGCAAATACTTAGTAACTGCTGTGCGAGTTCCCAGTTGCTCGTGGTCTGTTGTTTGTCAGTGTCTGTGGTCTCCACTATGGAGTGTGGTGATAGTACATAGCTACCAGGGTTCATGAGAACTCCTGTTTGTTACCTTGTAATGCCACCTCCTTTTGTAATACAAAACTAAGTTGTAAAGCAGGTTTGAGGGTTGATCCCTTTTTCTATTAGTCATGATTCTCTTCCACCACAGACAGTGACAGGACAAAAATTGTTCTGTGGACTTCTTCAGTTTGGGATTTGAATTTTTTTTTAAAAGCAACAATTGATACATGTGACATAAAGAAAATGCTATGAATAAAGAAGAACCTACTAGCTACATTAATCAAGATAATACATTATTAATGATTCAGTAAAAATAACTAGTTTGTTAAATCTGTGCTGAAGATCTTGAAACAAGAATTTGAACTATCTTGCATGTATTCATTATATATTATATTCATTAGCATATTTAAGATTATATTAAATATAAAGTTATTAGAAAGGCTTGTAAGAAGGAATGTTGTGTAGACACTGAAGTGTTGGGTTTGCTTTATTTTTTTTAAATCAGCAATAAACTTCTAGGTCTATTTCATTTCTGCAGATATTTTAAGATTATTTGCCAGAAAAACTAAACACACCAAAAATAAAAGAGCAAACTTTAAACTGAATATGTCATACAGATCTTAAGGAAGTTAATCATGTTTTGGGAACAAGCATGAAAGCTTTCATCTAAAAAGTTGAAAATATGCTTGCAGCTTTGTCAGGATAGATGGAAAATAATTTGAATTCTACAAAATGTCACTTCGGCACTTCATCCACCCTTCAGAGAACACCTTTTGTGTGTATTTTTTTTTCAACTTAAAAAAAAATGCTATAATTATCTATTTAAATATTTTAAGACTTCTCATCAGTGTGAAGTTCATATTGATATCCCAAGTTTCTGTAGTTGGGAACAGTGAATTCTTTGTCCTTAACCATATTTGCTTTTTATAGGACAGTCAAACCACAGCGATAGTCACTTATTTCCGAGCAACTGATGCAAATCTAAATTGGTTATTGCAGTAGCTGGAGCTGTGTTTAGACTTGTTTGAAATCTCATTGATTGTCATTCCCGTGTTTACCAGTAGTGGATATTTCAGGCTTCACTGTGTGAAATTGCATCAGGCAATTTCTGTTCTCCACATGGTCTGGGATGCAGACTCTCCCTCCTCTCCCAGTGCCAAAATATACTGGCAACGAGTTTTTCTGGAACTTACTTGCAGTACCCCAGGGTTTAAGAACTTCCCTGTGCAATTTGCCTTTTTTAAGAGCTTAAAGAGTGGAAAAATATTTAGCTGCAGTCATTGCCAGCTTTGCCAGCCCAGAGTGCTGCTCCTGTCTACATGGAGCAACTGGGGCTCTGCTGCAGAATCCGTGGGACTGCAGCCCGGGTGTGTGCTAGTGTGAGGTGACAGCCTTCGGGGGTTTGTGGAGACGTTGCAATGGCAGAGGGTTTGGAAGGAACACAGGAGATTGCTGGGTGGCTAGGTAGCCTGTGATTATGCCTTCTCTCACTGCAGTGAAGCTGGTTAAGTTGCTGAGAAGGGAAACTTGTCACTCGTTTCTTCAAATTATTTTCTGGTGGATTGCTGTCCTGGGAAAGTGCTAGACATAGAGATGGTTTTTCAGAGAGTGGGGTTACGTTGAATGTTGATAGCACACTTTAGCTAGAGTTTGACTTGGTTTAATTGCAAGAGTGATCATTTTATTTTGCTGGGATAACTGGAAGATTTTTGGGAGTATGAAGTTAGGGAAGCACCTGCGTGAGTCAGAATTGAGCAGCTCAGGTGTTTACCCTTTCCCAGGGCATGACCCAGTGTTTTGGGAAGCCCTCAGCTATTAACTGACTATTGTTTCGCTATCTCTTTATCTATAAAACATTGATTTACTGCTTTAGGAATTGTAGGAGATAGTTGGCATTCATGTTTGGAAGGCTGGTGGGACAATGCTGATGTCTCCAATGTAGTATGAATGGCGCTGCTGCAGAAGCCGCATTCTGCCGTGCACACATGGGTAGCAGGACAGTAATTCTGTTTGCTGTCGGGGTTGCCAAAGATTTCGCTGTGTGAGAATGTGGTTTCAGTTTATAATATAACAATGTCACACTAAAATGTTGCATGCCAGCTGCCCACTTAAGGGGGTATGTTTCCAAAAATGTTGTATGATTTAGTAGATGGCTGAGGAAAAATAAATTATTCTGCTGAGATGTTTATTTGGTTTTTCATCTGTTTATTTTAAAATCTAGCTACTATTGT